AATTACTCACTCTACACACACATTATTACGTCACGTTGTCACCCTCTTATATATATACCAGACGACCCTATCTAGTAAATGCTAGGGCATTCATGAAGGAACAAGATAGTTCTAGAAACGTGGCGTCACACTAGTCACGTGACCTCGCTGACGCAACAATATATTATCTTAATTTCAAAATAATATTGAATTTCTGGTGATTTACGTGTGTGCTTCTTTAGATCTGTTGTATGTGCTCATTTCGAACGTTCTGTATTTGGTAACCGAGAGGAAGGGTGTACTGAATCGAAACGTTATACAAAATATAACATCTATTTATCATTTACTATATGTATATGAGTTTCCCTTTCTTTACATTTGCAATTTAATTATATCACAGTTTCCTTGCTATGATTCCTTGTTCGATTTATTCTTTGTTTGGCGAACTGTCGGGCATCAGTATACCTGAATCCACAACCAGATAACCTGAGAGCTTTAGGAATATAAGCCTCTCTTCTCTAGAGGCGAAGAAGGGATGCCTACCTGTCTATTATATGTCTGTTTAAGCGTAACACTGCATAATGGGCCATCTGCGCTGTATCCACTTTAAAAATAAGCTCTTAACTCCAGTGTTATAAGCCCTCAACTTCAGACTTGTCGCTGACCTACAAGAAGACACGTACCATCCGAAAATTTGCGGGTCATCTGGTCTCTTGTTACGTAATTTGTCTATTTTTTTATAAACTATATAAACCGGTAAGAACTGACGGCAAGAAGGTAATGTGTAATTGAACAGCGGACAGAGAGACGTATTGTTGAGTCGAGCAAGTGAGACGTTCGTTGTGAATTATAGCATTTGTTATAGCGCGACTGTGGAAATTAAGTGTATTGCAAAGTTGTATTCAGAAAGAATAAACCAGTTTTACTTAAGAAAGGACTTGTGTCGCTAAAGTTTCTTCGGAAAGAATTTTTACGGAAAATTAACTAACGACCAGAGACGTAACAATATTCAGCAATATTGTGATAAGCTGAAACATGAAACGACCTTGACAAAATGATTTGACAGTACAACGTATCGGTACTAAAATTCTTACCCGTAACGTTTTACTTATACTGTTTTTAAGCACATTACTTTATTAAAACACGAACTTGTGTAATTCTGCTATGAACGTGAACTTCCTGTAATTAATAATTCGTTTTCTTTATTAAATTAAAACTTTAATTAAACGCCAAGATCTATATTGTGGAATGTTGTTTGTATCATGGCGCTCTTAGAACGAGACAAGATATTTACAGGGCACGTGATACGTATATGAGACATTATATACTGAAGTATAACTTGCGCAATCTCGTGCAAAATTCGAGTTCAACGACAAACTCTGCGTGTGTACATTTCACGTTTCAAATAATTTGTATAACAGTACGGGAGAGTCAATTTCACAAATATTGACAGTGACACAATAGTTAAAGTCTGTTAGATCACATGTGCACAAACTTTATAAAATTTTCGTGAGATGAATATAAATTCAATGTTTTTTTGTTTGTTTGTTTTTGGAAGTGAGGTTTGAAAAATTTAATGGACTGCAACTGCTCGTTAAAAGTAAAAAAAGACCGTCTATACAGCCGAAACACTGTCTCCTTTTCTTTCAACAAGTATTTGCAGTTCCTTAAACCTATGTTTACTGAAACAACAGAATTGAGGTTTGTTTGCCTTGCATTTCGATGATCAATATACTTCACTTTAAAAGATTTTAGAATTACAGACGTTTCTTGCATACTTATTAGATGAGTTCATTAGTTTGTTGTAATTCAACATTTTCGGGTTAGTTGTGTTTGATAAGAGTTTAATTAAATATGTTGGCCTGAAAATATAGTATTCGGTTCGGTCGAATTTCTTAGTAAAGTTAAAATACTATTCACGCAACTGAGTTATTTATTATGTTGTTGAAAGTCGACGCCAAAACATGTGCATTGGTCTACGCATTGTTCCGGAATTTAAAGAATAGTAACTTCTAATTCTAGTTATACAAGTTCATTTGCCCCCCAGTGGCACAGTGGTATGTCTGCGGACTT